GATAGATAGATAGATAGATAGATAGATAGATAGATAGATAGATAGATGGATGGATAGATAGATAGATGGCACAGGGTGAGTTGAAAATGAAAGGGTGATATCTGGAAGATAAAATTAAGGGGTGAGAGAGGATTATACTGGGAGACGGAGAAAAGGAGAAGTAGAATGGGGTAAATTATCTTACATGAAAGAGACAAGAAAAGGCTCTTACAGTGGAGGGGAAATGGGGGAAGGGGAGAGGGAATGAGTGAATCTTATTCTCACAGGATTTGACTTAAGGAGGGAATAAGTTACACAATGGGGTATGAAAATCTATCTTACCCTACAGGAAAATAAGGGGGGAAGGGGACAAGAGAGCAGGGAGTTGATAGAGGGGAGGGCAGATTGGAGGAGGGGATGATCAGAAGCAAACACTTCTGAGGAGGGACAGGGTCAAAAGAGAGACTAGAATAAATGGGGGGTAGGATAGGATGAAGGGAAATACACTTAGTTTTTCACAACATGACTACTATGGAAGTGTGTTGCATGACTGCACATCTATAACATGTATCGAGATGCTTGCCTTTTCAATGAGGGTGGGTGGGGAGGGAGGAAGGGAGAAAATTTGTAACCCAAAGTTTTAAAAACACATTAAAAATTTTAAAAAAAATTTAAAAATAAATAAATACCCTGAGGAAAGGAAAAAAAAAGAAGAGAGGGGATGGGTAACACAAAATTGGGAATTAGATCAGCCCCCAAGCAAAAAAAAACAAAAAAACAAAAGCCATTAGACTCATAAGATGGAAAATGAGTAAGCAAACTAGAAAGGACCACAACACAGTGAATAAAGATTATGTGGTTATGTAAAATCCCCAGTGAAAAAAGAAGTGAGATAATAGCAACACAGGAGACTTCCAGAAATAACAGGTCACCAGCAAGGGACCACAGAATGTTTCAGAAGAAAAGAAGAATAAAAAGAAAAAATGGGGCAGAATTTTCAGATTTTGGATGTGATGCCTGGGTCAATTATGACTCCCACCACCCAAGATCTAGGGGGAGAACCAGAGGAACAATGCATGGCATCGTAGATTTAAAGCTGGGAAGGGACCTTAGGAGTCAGGTCTAACTCCTTCATTTTACAGATGAGGAAACTGAGTCCCATAGATATGAAGTCACTTACTTAAGGTTTTATGTTGAACTTAAAGTCTCAAAAAGAAAAGACTAAAGGAACTTGATTTTTCACCTCAGACAAAATAAAGTTTACAAGTATTTTACTGGGGCAGCTAGGTGGTGCAGTGGATAGAGCACCAGGCTTGGAGTCAGGAGGACTTGGGTTCAAATCTGACCTCAGACACATTACACTCACTAGCTGTGTGACCTTGGACAAGTCACTTAACCCCAATTGCCTCATCAAAAAAAAAAGAAGTATTTTACTAAGCCTTCAATCAATGTTCTGATTCTCCTCATCCCTACAGGTCTCATTTCAACCCTTCAAATCTTCCCCTGCCTAAGAACAGCAGAACTTTGACCCTTTCTTACTGCATCTTCCCAGCCTTCCTTGGGCTCACAGTGACTTACATATATCTCTTATCTCCCCCACTAGATTGTAAGCTCCCTGCAGGCAGGGACAGGATCTTGAATTCATATCTGTACCCCCACCACCACCACACCACCCAGTGCCTGGTATCAGACCTGCAAGAGAGTAGCTACTCAAATAGTTGTTGACTGAACAGCCTCACTAATGCATTTGACACCTATGGACCCTCTCTAAACAGTCTTTCTCTGCTTTCTTTGTTGGTGACCCAGCAAAGATCACCAAGATCACCAGGGTTGATCTTGATCAGACCTCAATTCTTTTCAATTCATAAACATTTATTAAGAGCCTACAATCTTACCCCCACTCCCCACACACACAAAAAAAGCCTACTATGTGCCAGGCTCTTGGCATTAGCAAAGATGCAGATAGCACAGTCCCTGCCCTCAAGGAGCTTACCTTCTGCTAGCAGTTGGGGACCATTGAATGTGCCACATGTACATGGAAGAGCAAACAATGTCATTTGAGGACAGAGTGTTAACACCTGGGGGGATCAGGGAAAGCCTCCCAAAGGAGGTGATACCCCTAACCTGAGCCTTAAAGGAGAACGGCTTCGCAGAGTCAGAGATGACGGAGTGCATTGCACGTATGGGAGGCAGCTTGTACAAATGCATGGAGGTGGGGGATAGAATGCCATGTTTGGGGAACCGCTGATACTCCAGTTTAATTGAAGTGCTTCAAGGGTAGCAATAAGATAGTGAGGTAGAATTACAAAGGTGGTTGGGCCTAAAACACCAGGTTAAAGAGTTTGTATCTTCTCCTGGAGGCAACGAGGAGCCATGGAAGGCTTTTGGAGTAGAGGAACGGCACGCTCATACCTGTGCTGTCTTCCTCTCCGTTCATTTTTTCAAGAGCTCATTTCCACTCTCAAGACTTTCGACTGTCGCCTTTATGCTAAAGACCCAAATCCTAGTCCTCTTATTTCCCACTGCCTCTGGATGTTTCCTCTCAAAGTTTCCATCACCACCTCCAATTGGACACGTCCAAGGCCCAGACCACTTACATTCATCCTTGTACCTCTTCTGACATCCTTCTTTCTGCTAACATCTTCCCTAGCCAACCAGGTGTGAAGCCTTGGACTTTGACTTTGACTTAACATCATCACAGAGAAAAGACCTTCAAAGATCAATTAGTCCAACCCCTTGTTTCCCAGATGGGGAATCTGAGGCCCAGGGAGAAGTGACCTGCCAAAGGTCACACTGCTAATAAATGGCCAAGCCAGAATTTGACCTTGGATCATGTGACTCTGAGACTCAAGGCTTTCTCCACTGTATTACACTGACCCTTCTCCTACCTCCTCAATATTCCAGTCAAACCCTACTCAGTCTTATTGGTCTCCTATAAACTGGTCTTCCCAGTTCTAGTCTCTCCCTATTCCAGTCCAGGCTGAATACTTGTCACCTTCTCCTCATTAGAATGTAAGCTCCTTGAGGGCAGGGCCTGTTTTCCCCTTTCTTGGTATCCTTAGCACTTAGTCTAGTGTCTGGCACATAGTTGGGCAGCTGGGTGGTACAGGGGATAGAGCACCAGGCCTGGTGTCAGGAAGACTCATCTTTGTGAGACCCTTACTAGCTGTGTGACCCTGAGCAAGTCACTTCACTCTGTTTGCTTGTTTTCTCATCTGTAAAATGAGCTGGAGAAGGAAATAGCAAACCACTCCAGTATCTTTGTCAAGAAAACCCCAAATGGGGTCACAGAGAGTGAAACACAACTCAAACAACTGAACAACAACAGATGTTTAATAAATGTTTGCTGAACAACTTCCTACTATGTACCTGCTGACTTAGCCCAGTCAGTGTGTCTACTGTCCCCCAATGCCCGATATGTGCTTAGATTCCCTTTGCTTGCAGCATTCTTCCTCCTTTTCTTACATGGTCTAAATTCTCTGTGTTCTTCAAGGCTCTGCTCAAATGCCACATCCTGCATGAAGACTTTCCTGACAAATACCACTCACCAATCTTTCCCAACTCTGCATTTCCACATGAGGCCACACAGAATTTTGGATAGAGGACTAGATCTGGATTCAGCTCCCTCCTCTAACACTCACCAGCCATGTGAACCTAGGCAAGTCACTTAACTGCTCCCCGACTCAGTTTCCTCATCTGTGAAATGGGGATAAATAGCACCTGCTTCCTAGGGTTGGTGTGATGACCACATGAGACGATATCTGTAAACACTGTTTCTGTTTCACGTACGTACACAGTGGGTCTCCCTAACCAGATAACAAACTTCTTTGGGGTAGCCACTGCAAAACACCTTTGGTACCCATTTACCCCACCCCTACCTTATTGACAGCTGTAGCCACACAATAAGCACATGCTGATTGAGGGGCTTAAAGTCAGAACAACCAAAAACTATTCCGAAAAGGGAACATGAGGAAATTAGGTTATAAGGAAGAATTTCCAGGCAAGAAGAGACTCACATTAGAATGCGTTATGAAGGCAGATTGAAGGATCTTCTCTAGGGGAAATTCAACATAAATTCTCACCTTTCTGTGATGATAGAAAGGTGATATTGTTTGAAAGGGTGTCTATTTATTTAAAAAAAACATTTAGTGATTCTGAGTTCAGCATGAGTTTTACTAGACCAAAGGAGGGAATTCTCCACACAAAGTGGCTTGGGGAAGGGGAGGGAGGGGGATGTTTTCTGTGTTCTCTAGGTTTTAAAGTCAGGAAAACCTGGGTTAGAATCCTGCTTCCAATATGAGCTATGTGACCATGGAAAGGTCACTTAACCTGTGAGTCTCATTTTTATCCTCTATAAAATGGGGTAAAAACACCTGTAAGATGACCACAGAAGGTTGTTATGAGGTTCAACTGAGAAAATATCTACAAAGATCTCTACAAATGTTGGCTGTTATTAGTATTACATATGCAAGTACCTATTTGCATATAATCATCTTCATCATGTAAGAAGCCAACATGGTATAGAGGGCTAGAGACTTAGCTCCACTCCTTAGCCAAGACTGTTCAAACTCTCATTCCTATTTTACAGATGGGGAAACTGAGGTTCTAACAATATACTACCTTCATTTCACAAGGTCATCCTGGGATAATGTTCATACATCACTTTGTAACCATAAAATATATTAGAAATGTTCATTATTATCATAATCTGCACATACACATACCACATCTACTAACTGAGAGATTGCAAGGCCAAACTTTATTTTTATTTTGTCATTCAGGTGTTTCACGGGACGAACCCATTTTTCGTAGTCTCGAAACAAGTTCTTAAACAAACGATCTTCACATTTTGCCTCAAAGGATGGTTCCGATATCCCTGAAATAACAAAGGCAAAGAAATCAGTATCTGGCATCCTGACTCACTTCTCCCTTCTGTGTACTCACACCTGAGAAAAGTTTGCAGTATTATTAACCAAAATGGAACTCAGGATGAGAGATGCTGTAGCATCATGGACAGGGAGCCAAGAAGTCAGCAAGACCTAGGGTCAAATCCTACCCCTAACCCATGGTGGACGTTTCTTGACCCCAGCCAAGAAACCTAAACACTGAGCTACCTCAGGCCACTCTCTAAAACTATATGTAAGTGGCTGATCATCTGCATGGAGAATGCAGATTCCTATTCCAGGAGTTCCCTATACCAATGGAGTCATAGGTCCCAACTATAACCAAAAATTTAGGATATTAGTCAATACACACGCACACACACATGTATATATACATACACATATATGTATATACACACACACACACATTTTAAAGAAGCTATTTTAAAAGTACAGAAACAAAGATTTGGGAGGAAACAAGTAATTTCTTTAACATCATAATGTTTACAAAGGGCAGAGGCCTCAAAACCAACTTGTGAGGTAGCTTGGGCATATATTATCACTCTCATCTCACCCATAAGGAAATAGACCAAGAGACTTGTCCATAGTCACACAGCTGGTAAGTGCCCCAAGCTGAGATTCGAACCAAAGCCTCTTGACTCCAAATCCTGCATTCTTTCCTCAACATCAGGCAGCTAGTTAGATGGTGGGTTTGGGATTTTTTGAGGGGGAAGAGGTGGTGGTATAAAAGTTTATTAAGTTCAGAATTTCAAAAAAGTAATTCAAGATGGAGGAAAGGATTTAATGAAAAGAACCTTGAGCTCAATATTCATTTTCAAGCCCTGGAACATAACCAAAGCTGGAATGAAAGAGGCCCAGTGTGTAATTTTCAATAAATTCAGCTTTGCTGAATAGCTCCAGAAATTAAGAGCTGGCTTTCCCAATTTTCTCCTTAGCACTGTATCTTCCATCCCTTGGGGAAGTCAAGTTGATTATGCATACTATAACCACTGCCAAAGCCACAACGTCTTGGACATCTGCCAGCAGGAAGCTGGCACACACACATATCTGCCCCTAACCAGAAAGTTCCACGGGGCTGTTGTTTCAGCATTTTCTTCCTCCTGGGGAAGATGCCTCTGAGAATCTGTATCCATATTCAAAGAAGCACACTAGCATAGGTGGTATGACTTATTAATATCCTCTGATGTGGTCATGATAGATTAAGTTTGTTTGAAAAACAAACAAATGAGGCATATAATATGGCGGTCATTTCATGATCGGATGTCTCTGCAGTCACACCATAGATTGGCTAGAGAAAATGCAACATCACCTTCAAAGACAGGGTAAAGATGAAAAGACGACACTGTCCATAACTACAGCAGCTTTGATCTGGCTGGTTCAAAAATGTTGGAAATGCTGAAAAGTTGGAAATGGAAAAAGACAAAGACATTGACCTTGATGATCACCCTTTACCACAAATGTTTAACGGACAGAAAGCAGATTGTATGCTGGGCTAACAGAGCCCAGATATCCCAGTGAACAAACACCTCATCCCCTTGCTAAATAGAGGGGCATGGCAGCCGATAGCAGCACTGGTTTAGAACGGAAACATCCTCAGCAGGATCACCCCATGAACAGGGAACAACAGTGGAAGTAAAAATAAGTTTGTGTAAAACTCAGGGTGAGACTCAGACAAGCTCTGTTGCCCCAGTGTATGGGAACTAGACTCGTGATTTCATTGACATGGGGACTCCTCTATCAATATGGATCAGCACTTTTTCTTCAATTTATAATCTTAGGAATTTGCCTGTGGCATTGAGTTATCAAGTGACTCACCCAAGATCACACACATAGTCAGTAGGTGTCAAAGGCAAGACTTGAATCCAGGTCTTCTGGACTCTAAGGCCAGCTTTCTATCTACTATTTCGCACTGCTTCTCATCATCTCAAGGGCATTCATCAATGAAGTAGGAGATCAATAAATTGATGACATGGTTTAGATTTACTAATATTTCTATAATCCTCTATTTTCCTCAACAGTGACAGTGGAACCAGCCCTCAGATTACAGTTTGAGGCCATCTGGGTTTTGCCACAAGGCACTGACATTCAGGGGACACAGTGCCTTCCCACAGTGGTCTCCCAGACACATCTATCCCTGGGCTTCTCTGCTTCTTGGCATAGCCCTCACTACAGAATCCTATGGCTATGGCTCCCCTTCCCCAAAGCCTTCCAACCCTCCCACCTCCACAAAGGCTTAAACAAGTCTCCCTGGAGGACAGGCTACTCTTTTTCCTCTTGTAACTGTGCTAAGATGTGGATTGTCCTCTATGGCACCAATGTGACTGCCATCACTCTTCTTCTGTCCCAGGTAAAAGTGTTTCTAGTTTCTAAAGCTAACACCTCAGGCCCCAGTGTATGATATAAGGAAGCAGAAAGGCACTTAAGAAGACAAAATCCCAGAGAATCGCAGAAGCAGACCAAGTACATATCACAGGAATCCATTCTGGAGGAGAATCAATCCTGAAAACACTGAGGGTTTGTTTTACAAGGTCTCTCAAGGAGGGAGAAAGGGTATAAGTACAGAAAAATCACCAACAATATCACACTTAAAAAAAAAAAAAAGATAATCTAAGGGGCACCAATTACCACTGACTCATATGACTACTTTCTCATCATTTAAAAATCTTCATAAGAATGATGGCTGGAAAGAAGGAAGGAGGGAAGAAAGGAAGGAAGGAAGGGAGGGAGGAAGGAAGGAAGGAAAGAAGAGAGGGAGGGAGGGAAGGAGGAAGGAAGGGAGGAAGGGAGGAAAGGATGGGAATGAAAGAAAGAAGGAGGGAAGAAAGGAAGGGAGGGAGGAAACAAGTATTTTTTAAGTGCTTACTATGTGCTGGCACTGTGCTAAGTGCTTTACAATTATTATCTTATTTTATCCTCACAACGAACATGGGAGGTAGGTGCTGTTAAAGATTTTATAGATGAGGATAACTCAGCTAGAATGTGTCTAAGGCTAGATGTGAACTCAGGTCTTCCTGGCTCCAGGACCAGGGCTCTAGCCACTGCACCACCTAGCTGCCTTGTGGCTCAAAGGTATCCTTGATCAAATGAGATAGTATATGGAAAGTACTTTGCTAATCTTAAAGCAATATATAAAAGTTTGTTGTTGTTAAGTTGTTTCAGTTGTATCTGACTCTCCATGACCCCATTTGGGGTTTTCTTGGCAGAGATACTGGAGTGATTGGTCATTTCCTTCTCCAGCTCATTTTACAGATGAGGAAACTGAGGCACACAGGGTGAAGTGACTTGCCCAGGGTCACACGTAGTAAGTGTCTGATGCCAGATTTGAACTCAGGAAGATGAGTCTTCCTGACTTCAGGCCCACTGTGCCACCTAGTTGTTATCTATTATTCTTCTTGATGAAAATGTTCAGAGAATATGGGGTCCTAGAGTCATAACTAGGTCAAGGCAGCTGGGGCTTTGTCTGAGAGCCCTGAAACTTAGAGAGTGCTGAAAACATATTCTGTCTTTCATCAGCCTAGAATCAACTAAGATCTACCCTTATTTTATTATCTGTGTGACTTGGGACAAGTCACTCAATCTCTCTGTGACTCAGTTTCTTCATCTGTCCAAAAAGAAATGCAGAATGTACAATACGTCTTCAGCTCTAAATCTATGATGCTACGACACAAAGAATAATTAGTTAAAATAGGAAGCTACCAGACAACAGGCTTATTTTCCTCCTGTTCCCCATCAGCACCCTGCAGATCCTGCTCATGGGTTGATATCCCATGGTCTCCCCCATCCCAAGTAAATTTGTCTTAAAAGTGTATTTCATGCAGTTTACTCCAAATGCAGAAATTGTTACTACGATCACTACAGAATCCTTCCAGGCTATCTCTTTGCTGATTACAGAAAAGTGTTTGGCTCAGGAGGGCAGAACACAGGTTGGGTGGGGTTGATTTATGCTGGCTGTCCTGGTTGACTCCCATTCTACTAACTACAGCTGGCCTCAGCCCGTGTTGGCCTGAGGGAAACAGTTTGCCTGAGCGTTCTATTTAAGCAGCTGCCAGTCTGTGGGGCTCACACCTTGAAGGACTAGGGCGATATCTGCTGCTGTCACCCACTGCTCTGAGCACATATGTCACGATTAGGAGCTATGGGGTCCTCTGAGGAGTGGGGAAGACTCAATCACCAGAATACCAGCATCAGGAGATTTAACAATAAGGACCGCCACCACCACCTAAAACCTTACATAATGCTGTGGAAAAAACAGTGACTTTGGAATCAAGGCATCCAGTTTCAAATCAAACCCTTGAAGCTTCCTAGAGTTGTGACCCAGGGCAACTCACGTTAGAGGGTAAGCTCCTTGAGGGCAGGGATTGTCTTTTGCTTCTTTTTGTATCCTAGCCCTTAACACAATATCTGGCACATAGTAGGTGCTTAATAAATGTTTATTAAGAGACTGAACTTTTCTGAGCCTCCATTCCCTTATCTGTAAAGGGGAAAACAACACTTGTGTTACCTGTCTCACAGCAGCATTGTGAGAAAGAATTCTATAAGCTATAAAAATGTTAGAAAACCCAGTTATTATCATCACTATTATTAAATGAAGGGATGCAAAGATAGAAGGGCATATAGTTAGGACTGTGGACTTGGGAGTCGGGAAGGCCTGGATTCAAATCCCATTTTAGACGCTTACCTCCCTGCTGTGTGATCCTGGACAAGACATTTCACCGTTGATCTGAGCCTCAGTTTCCACATCTTAAAATAGGGATAATAACAGCACTTACCTCCCAAGGTCGTGAGGATCAAATGAGATAATGTTTACATAGTGCTTTACAAGCCTTAAAATGCTATGTAAATGTGAACTATTGTTATGAAATGAAGACCACATTAAAAACAGCCCTGGAAAGCCCCCAAATAGGAATGTCAAATCAATGCCCTTGAGCTGTCCGTATTCTAAGT